TATAGCATACATCCTTGACCATGAGTGGGTCAGAGCCATGCTATATGTAAAAAGTCAGGGGAGTATGCCTTTACAGGGGGTTCTTCAGAAAGTTCATGGACTATAGAATTAAAAGCTAAGCTTATTGTAATGTAAAAGCATTGAAGTCTGTGCATATGAGGAACCTTCACGAAGTCTGCAGTGGTTCTGACATCATGGCATAAGGGGTCAGTCACTACCTACAATGCCAGCATCCTGTAAGGGCACGGCTTTGAGTCCTGCTCCACTTTTTAAAAAGATTTATTTATTTTTTTTTTTTTATTGCAAAGTTAGATATACAGAGAGGAGGAGAGACAGAGAAGAAGATCTTCCGTCCCATGATCCACTCCCCAAGTGACTGCAATGGTTGGAGGGGCGCCAATCCGAAGCCAGGAGCCAAGAGCTCTTCCAGGTCTCCCACGTGGGTGCAGGAACCCGTCTTTGGGCCGTCCTCGAGTGCTTCCCCAGGCCATAAGCAGGAAGCTGGATGGGAAATGGAGCTGCCGGGATTAGAACCGGCGCCCATATGGGATGCCAGTGCGTTCAAGGCAAGGACTTTAGCCTTAGGCCATGGCGCCGGGCCCTGCTCCACTTCTGATCCAGCTCCCTGCTAATGTGCCTGGGAAAGCAGTGGAACATGGGCTAAGTGCTTGGGCCCCTGCATCCATTTAGGAGACATGGAAGAAGCTTCTGGCTGTTGGCTTTGTCCTGGTCTGGAGTGAGCCAGCTAATGGAAGGTCTCTCTCTTCCTGTCCCCTTCGTTCCCTCCCTCTCTCCCTCCCTCTCCCCTCCTTCCCTCCCTACTTTTTCTCTCCCCCACCCTTTCATCCTCTTTTCTCTTTCTCCTCTCTCTTGCATCTCTCTTTTTGGAATTAAGTCTTTCAGATAAAAATAAAGTAAATCTTAACAGGTCATAGAAATGCATATTATGGAAAATTATGTATTGACGTCTATATATTTTTTTTGGTGTCAGAATGCTCTTATGTTTCAATTCATCTTCCATGAACTTCTGAAGCTTTGTAGATCATTTACAATTCCCTTAGCTCAGTACATCAAGGAAATTAGGCAGGGGCCCCGGAGGTCAGCAAGTCCTCCCCTCAAGGGCCTTGGGCTGCACAGGAAGCAGCTGCAGATACCCCAAAATGCATGGGTGTGGCTGGGTGCCTGAAAAATGTCGCTGTCATCTACATAAGCAAGTGGCAGTGGACTGACAGTAAACCAACATAAATGCTGAAGATCTGAGAGAGACAGAGACGGCAATCAAACAGCTAAGAAGTGACTGGGGCTTGTCAGTACTTGCAGGCAGCATTTACCCCTTGCAGTGGGTGACAGTCCTCTCACCACCCCAGGCACCAGGGACTGAGTCCTCCCCCTTGGTGGAAATAGCACACATCCTCTTAACAGATGGTGACTTTGGAGAGAAGGTTGAAGTATCAGTTAGCAAATCCTGGGCTGCAGGTGTGGCTCACGGGGGCCTGAACAGGAAGGAGCATATGTCACAACCCAGGTGCCTGGCTGCTTGGTTTGGTGGCTTGGTGGCATCCTCCAGGCCCTGGGTTCTTCTCATTCTGTCATGCCCCAAGGACCATGGGCAGTTGGCATTGCTCCTGGGAACAGGTCAACTTGCAGATCCTGAGCAGAGAACAGCTGTTCCCTGGTCCTCCCTCTATGTCTCTTTCAAAGAGCAAGAAAGGAGGATGTTGGTGAGGAGGGTGCCGGTGCCGGAGGCTGCATTGCACTGAGTGCTGGTGAGTGGAGAGGTGGCGTCAGGCCTGACTGATGCTGTGGGCAGGCCCTGGTCTCTGTGCAGGGGCATGGCTGTGGAGCCCACTTGACTGTGTCAAGGAAGCAGGGAGACTTGACCCTGTGTGGCAGGGCCTCCTGTTTCTTGGTGAACCCCCACTCCCACTGGGCCTGGGTTGAGGAATCAGAGCCATCTGGGTGGTTGCTCTCTAAGGAACACTGGTGGAGTGGCTCCCTCGTGGGCTTTCTGGTCATTGGTTTTGGCTGCCTGGTCAGGCACCAGGCACCTCGCTTTCTGACCCTGCGAGCAGGGGCTGGCATCCTTTGCCCCAGGCTGCCTGGGACTTGCACTGCTCTTCTAACAGTACCATCTCCTTCCACACCGGGCTTCCTGATGTGAGCCCTACTGGCTGTTGGCACCTGCTCCTGTCCTGGTGGCAACAGGGATCTGTGGACCTCAAACCCTGAAACCACATCACTGTGCATGGACACCTGGCTCCCGCTGGGTCTTGGGTAGTCAGCTGCATCCCCTTTCCTGACATCTTTCTGGGCTTCAGCTCTCCTGGGATCAGGGCTACCTGGTGCCCCTGCCACAAGTTGACAGTGAATTGCAGTAAGAAAAGCAAGATGAAAGCGGTTTTTTGTCAGTAAAAATTTATGTTGCAAGTTCAAAGTTAAAGCCTTCACTCATTATGAAGTCGATCTGAGAACAATGACGCTCTCCAGTTGAACACAAACTGAGTCTTGGAGGGCAGACAGCTGCAGGCTCTGTCAGCCTCAGCATCCAGATGCTTCGCCATCGTGTGGCCTTGCCTTGCGTCCGACAGTCCTGTGTCACCACCGTGAGAACCGGCGGCTGGAGGAGGCTGGGGGAGAGCCTGCCGTGCAATTTTGGGACAGCCATCTGTTCCAGCAGGAAAAAGGAAACCATTTCATAGTTGGATCTCTGACAGTGTTTAACCTGCAAGGGGCAAGGGCAGGTGACTTTTAGTTACAAAGAAAGCCAGATAGGAAGCACCCAGAGCTTAGCCTGAGCACCACAGCAAGGAAGTTGCCTGTTACGTGATGATGTGGCGAGCTGGGTCAGGTGCTTTCCCAAGCCTTGCAGCCTGTGTTTGGGTCTCGGTGGAGGGCATTCTGTCCTCTTGACACGGGCTTGTCCTCCAGGGTGAACCAGCTCAGGGGCCCCGAAGACCACAGCTCCGGGCACAGGCCATCTGCCTTCTACTGTCCTCTCCTGGAATTCCCTGGAAGGCTCGGCTCTCACTGCCCAGCCAGACCGCTCACCGGGTAGCAGTGGTGGTTGTATCCTATCTGCCTCACGTCTCCCCCTTCCCTGCAGGTGCCCATCGGGGAGGCCCCCCGCATTTGCTCCTCAGCCCCTGGAGGAGCCAAGGGACTGCGCGTGGAAATGAAGACACATCTCAGGCCACACGCAGGTCTCCACGTGTGTCCCTATGAGCCCGGAGTCTCGGAGAGCACTGGTCTCCTTGAGGGGGCACTTTGCTGCAAGAAGCACTGATGGCCACACTGCTGACAGTGACAACAATGATGATGGCAGCTGAAGCGTTTTATTGCTTTTCTATTTAACAGGTATTTTGTTTACTGTTTTCCTACTCAGTCCTCACACCGACCCTGTATGTAAAGTACGTTGTGTTTTCTTCCCCATTCTGCCAACAAGCTGCTAGCCAAGTTGAGCTGGTACCTGGGCCTAAAGCATCTAGATAGGGGCACTGGCACATGGACAAGACTGCCCTGATCCAGGGAAATGTGATACCTTCTAGTACGTTCCAGCGGGTGGACCAGGAACAGTGATTGTGAATCCCAGGGAGGTTACCCTTGACCTTGACCACCAGCAGTCAGCACACTCGGCTTGGAGTAACTGCTCAGTCTGCAGTCAGGAGAACCCATAGGTGACAACACTCCCAGAGGGAGAGGAAAGAGCTGCTTGAAGCCCAGCTCCTAGCTCTGCTCAGAGATGTTGCCCTCATCTGCCACTCAAAGTCTGGACTCTGCAAGGAGACACTTGGGGTGCACAGATGGGGCTTTGCCCTCGTAGAGTCTGGTCTACTCCAGGACAGCCAAACCTGGTTTCCTGGTCAGTTGAGTAATCGCTCCTTCCAGAAGTGCTTTGTGCCATGTGAACTTCCAAGATGCAGTTGAGAGAAAACAGCCATTGACATACATCCTTAGAATTCACTGTGCTCCCAGACCTCACATACAGATAGTAGTAAACCAGGTGGGTTTCTGATGTGTCATCGAAATGTCCCTGGAGGATGTGTTTGATGACTCTCTGTGGGTTGACAGCTGTGGCACCATCCTTGTCTCCAGAACCAGGAAGGGTATCTGAAGGCTGGGGCCTAGAAGGCAGCAGCAGGTGGAGCCCTGAAGTCACTTCCTGTCCCCTCACTCCAGAGCCTGTTCTGTGCCTGGATTGGCTGATTTGGACCAGTTCTGTTCAGCCAGCACCAGCCCACAGAAGTCACATTAGTGTGAGAGACGATGGAGGTAGCCTGGGCAAGCCCTACCCAGGATCCTTAGTACCAACCCTGAGAGGGCCTGGGCCTGCATGCGCAGGGGCTCAGCTCCGAGCGAAGTCTCTGCTCACTGCTGTCTGTCAGCAGCATGTCTCGGCCAGCCTGATTCTGGGCAGTGTTGTAGAATGTATAAGACCTAAGACAGCATGGATTCCGAAGAGAGACGCCTGACTTGAACATCCCTATCCCAGACAATCCCTGCTCAGGGACCAGTTCCTAACACCTTGTCCTGCCAGGGGTTTGCCCGAGTCCCAGCATCACTCAAGTAGCACCAGGGAGCAGTGTGTGTCCTGTGACATCCTGTCACTTCCTACTCCCCCCGACTTTTAGCTCCACCCACTTTTCCTAGCCTTAGTAGCAAACCCTGTGTTCCAGGCAATCCGGCCCCGCGGGGAGGCCCCAAACATGCACAGCCTTTTCCGGTGCTGGGCCTCTGCTTAACTGTTTTTGTGTCCTAACCATCAGCTGCATCTAAGAGATCATGGCCAGATAAGAGGCTGCAGCAGAATGAGACGTCCCCACCTCTTGTCCCCCTCTGGTGGCCATTCTAGCTGTCCCACCCACAGGGTCTCAACTTTCCCCATCCCTCCCGGCACCAGCATAACCTTCAGGCAGGAGCCCCTACACATGCAGCGTGCGTATGTCAGTGTCGGCTGGGTGCCCAGGCACTGCGGCAGGGCCTCTGACAGGGGTGGTCTTCCTGCTAACTGCCCTCATCCACCAGGTCTGAAGGCGGGGGGATGAGGTCCCGGGGGTTCATCCTGGCCACCAGGCAGACGTCGTAGCTGTCATGCATGAGGACGTTGACGGCCACCACGTTCCACTGGTTTTCCCAGGGGTCCAGCTCCAGGATTTCCTTGGAGATAACCTCATGGCGATCTGAACAACAGCAAAGGAAGAGCACAGTGTTAAGGCCCTCATCGGTCAGTGAGCTGGCTTCCTCTTAACGGCGTCAAGCGCCAGAAACGTATTAACAGCTGAATAGAGATGCTCTAAATGCAACATCCTGAATGCTTCAGAAGCCCGAGTCCCAGCATCACTCAAGTAGCACCAGGGAGCAGTGTGTGTCCTGTGACATCCTGTCACTTCCTACTCCCCCGACTTAAGTTTCGGGTCAGGTGCTAGTGTTCAGCCAAGACCAGCTCAGCAGGGCACAGAAAGCACCTGGCCCTGGGCACTTTGCAGAGAGTATGGGACCAGGATAGCTGACAGGTGTTTTCAGGGTTCAGGAAGATGTGTGGGGACAGTGCAGTGTTCCACACAAAGCAGTGGCCAGCTGTGGCCACTCTCAAGTCTTCTCAGACCAGGAGAGTTGGGGGCCACTTGTACCCCTGACCCCATGTACCTTTCAGTCAGTCACCTGGTGCTTGAGGAAGCACATGTGCCGTGTGCCTGAGAGCTCAGCTAGAACAGACACAGTGACGGATGAGACGTTGCTGGGGCAGGTCCCTGTGTTGGGAGAAGGGGTGTCCCAGCCACCGGGATGGGGTTTGAATCCTGGCTGTGCCATTTGGAATCTGGTGACTTTGTACAAGTTACTTCATTTCTCTGTGCCTCTTACTTCTCACCTGTAAGATGGATCTAATCTTGGTACCTGCCTTGCAGGACTGATTTTAGGATTATCTGAGTATTTTCATACGCGCCCATGGGAAGCCTCGAGAGCCTGTTAAGATGAACGTTACAGAAATACTAGTCTGATGGGAGTCTGGGCCAGGTGGGAACAAGAAGCCAGGAGTTGCTTTTGGGTGAGCACAGAGGCCCATGTATTTGATCCATCCTCTACTGCTTTCCCAGGTGCATTAGCAGGGGACTGGATTGGAAGTGAAGCAGCCAGTGGTTGAATCAGTGCCCATACGGGATGTCCACATTGTAGGCAGCAGCTTAACTCACTATTCCATAGAGCTAGCCCCTAGACAATTCTGTTTGTATCACAATCTCTTATGTGAATAACAATTCCTACTTCTTGGACACTGTTAGGCGCTTTCGATGTATTAGCATTTATTCCTCTGAGCAATCATCTGAGGAAGATTCATTATTTTCTCAATTTTGCAGAAAAGCTAACCCATCCAGAGAAGCTCATTAACTGGCCCGAGGGTGCAGCTGCTGACTGGTGGTCCTGCTGGGAAGAGAATACCAGCGGGACAGAGGCGTCCCGAGACAGCTGGCTCCGAAGTGAGTGCTGGGGAGGAATCATGTTTATTCTGCCAGCCGTGAGGCTGACATCAGGGGGGCCTCCACTTAACGATGGAGGGGGAGGTATCCGTGGGAGAAAGGCTTCAATATTGCATTCGTTTTCAAGTACTTGAGAAGAGTAAGGAGATGAGAGAAGCAGCATGTTTGTCAGGGGCATAGATAAAAAAGGGTCCAAGCTGCAGTGGCCAAACGGGCTTCGTTCTTGCTGGCTCGGTGCAGATGTGAAATAGCTAAAGGCGAGTGAACGAACCAACCAGCTGGAGATCCAAAGCAGAATTAGTATGGTTTTGATTGGGTTGACGTTGAATTCAGAACTGGAATTGGGATGGGATAGCCATTGCACGGGTTTTCTAAACAGAGCATGGTATGTTTTCTCAAATTGGGGGTTTAAGCGAGTATTTTTTTTATTTGTTTCTTTTTTGTTTTTAATCTCCCAGTGCAATTTGTTTTTAAAAACGTGTCATCACTGAGACTAGGGAATTAGACCAGACCTCTCAACTCCAGTGCAAAGCCTGAGTGCTAGGCACGGAGTACTTTGGAGCAAGGTGGAAAATCCAGCTGGGAGTTGATTATTTTTTATTTTTTTTAAATGGGTGCTTAGTTCATTTACTTAAAATTTTCAGTGTTTTCTAATACTACCTGCTCCACATTTTCTTCTGCATGTTGGTTTTTAGAAGATCCCCAATTTCAAATTTTAGGAAGCCAAGGTCGATTTAGGAAGCCATTTATAAACTTCCAGTTGGGTGTTCGTGAGTGTCAACATGCATACTAGCCTGTCCTTTTGTTGTGAATTTCTAACTCACCTATTTTATAGATAGGACGTGTAGCTCCTGTAACTTCTACTTTGGGAAATATATTGAAATTTGCTTTTGCCTTAATTTATGATTACCGATACTGGAAGTGTTAGAGAGGAATGGCCATTTTTGTGTGTGTGTTTGGCACAAGTTTCTGTGTTTCAATGAAATTAAACGTTCAGTGCTGTGTAAGTCCTTCATACAAGTGTGGTGAGAGACACTGCCTAGGTTAGCGGCCACTGGGCGGAGTGACTGACTGTTAAACCTGATTTTATTGAAATAGTGTGAAGTTGCCTCCCAGCCATGTGCCCCGGCATGTTGTGTTGGACAGCTCTTCTTTAGTTTTCATCTGAGTGGGTTGCACTTGTGTGAGACTGTGTCCTAGACTCCATGCGGGTTTTGTGGGTTTATCCTTTGTGTCTTTAGTGCCTTCTCCTTTGTTTGTTTCCAAGTTGTGCTACCAGGGCCTGTTGTGCCAGAGCACCTAGGAGCCATAGGGGAAACCACTATGGCTGGTGTCTGTGAGCCCAGGGCAGCTCAACCAGAAGAGCTGGGAGGGGGGGATTCCTGCTGCCCCTTCTGTTGCCTTCTCTAGTTGGCCATTGTACCAGCAGTGAGAGGTTGACCAGCCTCAGGGGATCAGGAAGACCTCCAGCCTCCCAGCAGGTGCAGGTACCACAGCCTAACAGGACTGTGAGAGGGCTGGCACCACAGGTGGTCACAGGTAGCCAGTGCCGCTGTCACGTCGTCCTGCTGGGTTCTGCCAGGGAAGCAAATAGCCCCTGCACTTGCCTGCTTGTTGATCGTCTGTCTGCTGCCAAGGAGAGTGGTCTTCAGTCTGCCACTGCCCAGATTGGCCTCTGCCCACCATGGGTCTCTGGGGAGGACTGTCTCTTGTGTTTAAGATATGGGTGTCTTCTGAGTTGTGGTTTGTTGTTGCCTTGAGGAGGTTTGTAAATCCAGAACAGGAGGGGCTCTGCCCCTGTAGCCTGGCCTCTTGCAAGATTGGAGATTGGTTGGCAACCTATCTAGGGCCACGGCCTGAAAGCTTGGGACACACTTACATATCTACTCTACCCTGTCTCATTTGATTTTTTTTCTCTTCCTTTTCATTCTATTTCCTGATTTTTTAAAAAAAGATATATATATATATATATACCTTTTGTGCATGTGTGTCCTCTGGTACCCACACCAGGATGGCTCTCTGAGGTCTTGGTTTTGTTCTGAATTAGAATGTACATGGACAAAGACCAGAGTGTGTGTCAACTGACCAGGCACCCTGCCCTGCCCTGTGGAGATGAAGGAGCCGCCTCTAAGTGACAGGGGCGTCAGCTGTCCCACTCAAGTGGCAAGAAGGGGTCATGACTGGCCCGCAGATGATGGCCTCAGCCAGTAGAGGAGGCTGCTGGTTCATTTTAAAAAGTGTCTGAGTATGTGAGGTTGCTTGTTAGTGGAGGGCAGCCTTTGGAAGATGCCGCCTGCTTCCGTTGGCTGCTCCCACGTTCCTGCATGCAGCAGGACTCCAGGTGGAGTGTGCTTACTGGACCAGTCGGCTGCTGAAGCAGGGACTGGCTAGGCTGTGGTTTAAAGAGACAGTGGAGTCTCACTGCAGCCAGAGACGGGGGCTGGAGTTCCTGTGGGCTGGGCCCGCTGTTTATCTTGTACCTGCAAGGTGACCTGCACCGCTTAACGTGAAGGATTTTTTCTAGAAACACCATAAGTGAATAAAGCAAAATGCATGCTTTGAAAGGGTCTCCTCTCCACTGTCTCAGTTGCAAAGGAAAAAGTAGTCATTTTGCAGTGAGAGGGGTAAGACAATACAGAGACCAGGTAATTGCAATGAACATTGCCGGCGGGATTTGCCTCCACATGTGGTGTCCTGAGCAGAGCGCAGCTGTCACATAAGTTACGTAAGATTACAGCCAAGAATACAAGACCTGGATTTAACCTCAAGGCGAGTCTTTAGACCTCAAAACAGGAACATGAAGGAAAATCATATTACTTTAAAATGTCTCTATTTGTAGGATAGAAATGTTCTGGATTTAAGAAAACTGAGGTGACGTGTCAGCAAAATGCAATGCCTGGTCACAGAGTGCCATGACCAGACCGTGCTTCGGCTTGTGTGTTGTAGGTGCATGGGTGCAGACAGCCACACCAACAAATGCCACAGCTGAGCCAGGGCTGAACAATCCAGACAAGGCCCAGTGTTAGCAAGGGGGTGGACCTGGCTGTTCACAGTATTATTATTATTTTTTTTATTGCTGCAGCTGTCTATGAGTCTGAAACGATCTCCAAGAAGAAGCTTTAACTAAGAGTTCCCCTGAGTTGTTCTTTCATGAGGTCACTCCGTTGCTGGCTCTCTCTGCCGCCTGAAGCTCAGTCAGCGGTTAAGTCCCTCAGATCAGGAAAAAGATCCTGTTGTGGGCTGGGCAGTCGCTGTCAGTCTCCCAGGGGTGCCAAGTCTCACACAACTACAAGGACCTACATATCAACTCTAGAGATGCAAGCATTGGCACAGCACAGAGCACTGAGCTGGAGTTCCCAGGCTCAGATGCATTCCAGGAAAAGGATGGGAAGCCCTGGGAAGCAGCGGCCCGAGTGGGATGAGAGGACGAGGGTTCGGTGTCACCCCCACGAGTGCAGTCTGTCCCTGCCGACCCTGGCGCCTTCCCGATGTCTCATGTGATTCTGGGTGAAGCGCAGGAAACCCTCACCATCTGAGGGTGGGTGGATAGGATGACGTAGACACGAGTGTCAGAGCCGTCAGCTGGCCCATCAGATGCCAGCCGTGTCTCCTGTGCCATCGCTGTTCCAGAACATACTGGCTACCTCCATCTGCTGCTCTTTGCTGAGGATTTTCTCTCTGCTCATGTTGAGGGGACAAATAGGAAG